TGAAATATGTTTTTCATTTCCTTATATTTTAAGAATGCTTCATTGATTTCCAACGAAGCATTCTTAAAATATTATTACGTTATCAATATAAAGGTTCTTCTTGATTTCGAGAGCAAGTTGCTCTTCTTGTTTTTGAAAAAAAAAGATAATTCAAAGTGGCTGATAGTAAAAAGGAGAAGGATATTACTCCGAATGGAACTCGTTGGAATCGGTAACATTCGATGTTATCTTCTATTAGCTCTCCTGTGATGTCCTTTAACCACAGGAATCGAATACAATTTCTTTCCGTTAGAAGTAATTCCAATTATAAAAATGCCTTTTCAATATCCGCTGCTATTACCGGAAACGGAGCAGTATCCTTATCAGATTAGGGAGATTTATCGTCCCGCGGTGTAAAACATCACTCAAACTCTTTATCTCCTTTGGTGTGGAATGATGCATCGTATACAATTCTCAGTTTGGTTTTTGTCTTACTTGATTGTAAGACTTCATGATGAGGTAAGTAATGGATAATACAATCTGGTCCATTTCTGAACGCATTTTTTCGATGACGTTGGACCGTAATTATTTTTGGATCGTTTCGTCGTACTTGTGTAATAGTCTCCCATTGAGTTGATTAGACGGCGGAAACACAGTCCAAAATTGACCGTTAATTTGTCCGTTAGTTTGTCCTTTGATTCTTTCCCTTCGATTCCTTTGATTCTTTTCTTTAGTTTGTCCTTTGATAATGGCCAAGCTACTTGATATTTTCCGTTGACTTTAAAGATATTTTCTTTAAACTTCTCCAATACTTGTTCATTATCATGAAGATTGGGTTTTCTTGTATGCCTATAAACTCTAATTTCCAGAATCGATCTATATCTGGAAATTTAATATTGATAAGCATGGCTATTTCCTCATCTTCCGACATATCTCCCGACACGTTTGTGCTTGTATCCGTGCTCTGATATACGTGGTAGGGTATTGCTTCATCTGACACCGATAGTTGGTTAATGATGATTTCAGAAAATTTATATAAGTATCTACTTCCTGCTATCATTAGGCCAACTACTGAGTATATCAAGGTGAATCCTGATTCAATGATTTGTGCTTTCTCCACTTGGGTGAAGCTGAAGAAATTGTCAATTCTGATGAGTAAGTCAGGTTATCTGCAATCTTCATCTATCTCATTTAGTAAAAATTCGATATGAATGGTATGTCGTACTGACTTATTGTAACTATCTGCACTGGTTTGTAAGACGGTTTACTATGGGTACAATTCGTTTTCTATGGTTTTTATTCCGAGCGGTGCCCTTGCCACAGTGGATAGTTTTGGATTTTCATCGGCGAATGGGGCAATCCTCATCTTGTCATATCCAATTTCCTCCATGCAGTTTAGTTGAGCGCCATCATCGAACAGAATGATGGTTCTTTCCGTTGTTTCTGCATTATTCAGGTTCATTACTTACCTTTCTACAGGGAAGCAAACCTTTTTATTTACGTTACTTCACGTTCCACTTAGCATATTGACTGCCTTGACGGTTTGTTATTTATGTGAACTTGACAGAACGCGGTGCTGTGAGGATCTTTACAGTGAAAGCATGTACGCTTTCTTCTGTTACATTTGGTGGTAGCATGTCCAGTTTGCAAGCAATTTAGGCAAGCGATTTCTTTCTTCAATCTTTCTAGTCACTGTTTTAGGGTGAGATAAAATTGGCATTCGTTATTCCAATGATCACTGTTACAAAAGGAACATGGTCTTCTTGTTTTACTCGCCTTTTCTGACTTTGATTGGGTGTCATTAGCTTTTGGTATAATTACGGCTGAAGCTGGATTATGTTGTAAGTAAGATGTTGACTTACTTTTAGTCAGGATTTGCTTCTTTTTGGTATTCAGAGACTGGCTTCTGGACACTTCTTCATTTTTTAGTACGAGTTTTCCAAGGAACTATCTAAGTTTGTTGACAGACCATGATTCTTGTTCTTTCTATCGATAGATTTTTATCTAAAATCCAAGCCGGCAATCTGCTTTCGATTACGATCTCGATACTTGACTGTTCTCGCCTATAACTTCTAGTTGTCAGAGTATTCCTTCATTTTCTTCGACTGTTACCTTCCTTCTTTGTTATTTTTCTTGATGGAATGTAATTCGCTATATAGCGATTTTTTGATCGTATGTAATTGCCCATATTTTTCAACCAGAACCTTTCTTATAACGTCATAATTCCTTCAGACATGCTATAAAGTAGTTTAGTTTTTGTATATCTGAAATGTTTTGTAGATGCACTGCGGCATCAAAACTATTCCAGAATCCTCTCCATAATTTTGGGTTACCACTGAATGTGGGAAGTGGTAATTGAGGCAAATTCACTGTCGGATGATTTGCTATTTGGATTGACTCTTGTTGATGAGTTAGTCCATTTTTCTTATTTTCTTGACTTCTTGATGTTGGAGCACTAACTCAGCGTCATTTTTACACATTTTTAAAGTTATTATAACTTCTTTTCCTTCACTTATTAATTTTAAAATACCTTTTTGGTCGTCGACCATTTGACCATAATTGTCTTCTTCTTGTTTTCTTGATGGGTCGAGATGTGTTGAATGTATTGTTTCCATTCGATGTT